TGTACAGTCCCGGGTCTGTAGTGACACAGACTTCACTCAAATTTGAAAACAATTAGGAATACAACTTAAAGAACCCATTGTGTAATGCCAGCATGAGTCATGATCTGCTATATGCTACACGAAATACGAATGTAAGCATATGTAGTAAAATTCAACTATACAAGTAACCACATCAGTGAAATTTATAAAAAAGTAGTCTAAACTCTTAAATTCAATCAAGAAACGCTTCAGTATTCAATACTGTATTGGTATTTTGTTTATTTATACTTAAGATGTGTAGGCCTAGGTATATTCATTTTACAATTATTCTACGGTCTTTATATTTGTTTATTTGCCGTAAATAGGTTACCCAGACCAATTTACGGCACTCCAATGTTACAGGTTTGAATGTCGTATTGTCCAACACATGCCTGCATATTTTCATGATGTTTCTTATTTTATTTCTTACCTGTGTTGACCGTGGATTTGCTACGGCCCGAGAGTAGGACTAGGAGGACGATGAGAGCTTTCTCAGTTTCTGCCTGACCTGATTCTCATTCCACCGTAATAATAATAATATTCGTGAGACACGTACAACAACTTTACAAACAAGTCAAATAATACAACGTGTTTTAATTATCAATATCTACCTGTTGTCATAATTCGTTGTACTCAAATAAAACACAAACACCGTTTTAAGAATCGTTTTAATTTTTAATCTCAAAGTAATAAAGTAATATTTGAAAAAAAAAAACCCCAACAAAACAACAAATACCGAAAGGTCCTCAACTATCCAGAGAAACAGAGTGGGGCAGGACAATTTTATGCTCGGTCGGGTGGTGTCAAAAAGTTTTTAGATCCCTGTATCATTGATGAAAATTAAGTGAATTTGGTAAAATTTGAATATATAAATGGAAATTTGATTTGCACTGAACCAAATACAAAAGGCAGCAGATGCTCTGAAAATACACCAAGAAGGGTTTAATTTTCATAAAAGACCACGCCCCCCTCCCAGGCACATTTTCAAGTGTGTGCGCAGGCACACTCAACTTTTATAGAGCCCTGATAATACCCCACACAAGAAATGCAAAACAGGTATGTTGAAGAAACCGTACTATGTAAGTGTATTTATAAAGGCAAAACAGAACTGGAAGACGAAGTTGCTGAAAGGGACCTCGTTCCTGTCGCCATGTTTCTTGCAGTCGCGGCAATACTTGCAGAATTCGTCAGACAAAAAAGTACCGACAGCAAACTGTAGATAAAAAAGACGCCGCCGACATCTCTTGAATGCGATTCCACCCGACCCGGTTGGAATTGGGTGCTATTGATAGTAAAGGCACGTAAGCTTGAAATATTTCTTGCCGAATACATATAGCATGACTTAGCCTACGCGCTGTATTCTAGAAAGAGGCAGATTCGAAAAAAAGGAGATGACATGTGAACGAGTTTGTGTCAGTGCATAAACCAGACTTATTTACATAAGCCCCCAATAAAATAATCAATAGAATACAATATCAAAAGATAGGTTGCCAGGCAACGAAACATAACTTAGGCAGTAATTATCAGAAATCGTTGGGAATCAATAGGATTCTTCGTCTCATGACCTCAAACACTGTGTATAAATTTAAAGTTAATCGGATATTAACTTTAGCCTCTAGAGCATCCACAAGATTTTTTGAAGTGATCAAGGGCCATCATTCTGGCAGTAATTATCCGAAATCACTGAAAATCAATTGGCGTCTTCGTCTCATTACCTTAAACACTGTGTATAAATTTAACGTCAATCGGATATTAACTTTGGCCTCTAGAGTGTCCACAAGATTTTTTGAAGTGATCAAGGGCCATAACTCTGACAGTAATTATTGGACATTGCTGAAAATCAATAGGCTTCTTCGTTTCATGACCTTAAACACTGTGTATAAATTTAAAGTCAATTGGATATTAACTCTAGCCTCTAGAGCGTCCACAAGCAATTGTGGATGCCGGACCGACGACAATATACAACATTTCAATGTGGGCGTATAAAAACCATGGTTTAACCCTTTCAATGCTAGACGTAAATCCACTGCCTGTGCTAGACCCTTTTTTGAGGAAAAAAGGGGGGTTGGAACCAGTGATGGGATTTTACCTGTATATTCCGGACTTGTCCGAATCTTTTTTCGAAACGCCCAAAATTGTCCGACAGGGAATATGCCCAATCGGACATCAAGACATGGTGAATAATATTCAAATTCCAAAATTAATATAGTGTACTGAGTGTATAACTACCGTGCAACCCGATTATCGTTGATAATAGGCTGGATTGATTAGGTAATTAAGTGATCGACTATTTATCGTGTTATGTCGTCTACACACCTACCTTGATTAACTACTATTCTGCCTTAATTGGCTGACTTAATCCTTTGTCGGACAATTCATCAAATCAATCCTGAACAGATGTCATTGCTTCTCCTTTGTCGGACGATATATCAATCCAATAAGAGTGATTATAAACTTAATCTGATTAACCCGTGATTTGTCCATTGTCTCACGTTTTAATCTCCTTTGTGTCGGACAATAACACGTAGAAATTAGTCATATATGTCACATATCCTGATAGTATATAGCACCTCAAATCAACATACATTGTATCCGATAACTTGTCTGTGATATATTTTCGGTGAAAGCTGAAGTTAAATAAAGATATTTCACACACACGCATATGGCACTATACTTCAGTAATTAAAATGAAAGTACAAATCTCGCGAGACACGTGAAATTAAGGTGTATACGTGCCGAATCCAATATGACTGATGTCCGGGAAAAGATTCTATTTTGATGGCATATTGTCGGATTTATGATCATATTTTGAATGGGGTTTATGTCTTTAAATAAATAAATAAATAAATAAACACGCTAAGAAATGTTGACGAATATTTCGATTGGAATGACGTAAGTAGTTAATTGTTTTAGACGATAGCGCATGCTACACTCGAATGCAATTATTTAGCAGTTGGTGTCACACGCTCGTTGTATTTGAGCGTCGTTAACTACGGTTTACGGCGAAATAAATTTCGGGATGTCATTTTTTTACCTTCCGTATATAAATCGAAACGTAGTATCAGACGAATGTCGGACTTTGCTGAAAAATGTACCGACGTATGACCCGAAAAATACGGTAATTTTTGGGGAGTTTGAAACAGATAGGCAGCAGTCAGCACGCTGCCATTCTATAGTATTGATGTCATGTAATTTTGTAGGAATATTATTGACATAAATTTGAATACCGTACGTGTTTTAAACATGAAATATAACGAGGTGCACCTATTTTTCTTTTACATATCAATTTGAATATATTTTGTTGACACGTGATTCTTTATTGTGTTTTGAAAACGTCTGCTTAAATTACAATAATTTTGTTGAAATCCCATCACTGGTTGGAACTGAATGCCAAACAGTACTTATGGAAGCTTTTATGAAAAATCTTTTTGTCTGTTGGGATGGGCATGAGGTTGGGCTAAGAGGAAAAAATAGAATTTTGGAAATTTGCATAATAATGTAGTCACGCGACGTCATGGCGGCCATTTTGGATTTCTGATTTCTCACTAAAGCTAACACGAAAACGAATTTTTCTCCATGAAATACTTATGAGATATTGTTTTTTTCACTGGATTTTGATAAAGATATATAAAATGAACAAAAATATCAATAGCAGCCATGAGCAATGCCATACCCATACTACCGGCTATACGCAATGAAAGGGTTAATCCAACGTTTCGTCAGTAAAAATACTAACTTCTTCAGGGATGAAGAACTAAATACAAAATGACTGGAAGTCAGTTATGACATCATAGGAAGTTATGACATCGTGGGAATGATGACGTCATAGACTTAGATACATAACATGAAAGGTTAGCTTAACTAAAACTTAGGTAAAATGTTACAAGTAAGGAAAAATTATGCATGATTATGAATGGTTTTGAAACCCCCTGGATTTAATTCATTTAAACCGTTAGGCCAAACTGAATGTTGTCTATGAATCTACAGACTCTCTGCTGTGTTCAATTTTTTCTGATCTTTATCAGGAATTTTTTGTACTATGGTACACACTAAATCATGACCAGGTATATTAAAATGCAGGGCTACATGGGGGGAATGGCCAGGTTTTTTAAGCTTATATTACATCTGTCCTTATTAAGTCAACTGCTGAAAGGAGTAATGGTTTGGCCTACATATTGCATACTAATGAATAATTCGCTTGTGTGTGGGGGTCTTTAGCTGTGGGAGGACACAGAGAAAACCCACGAGGTTGAACAGACAATCTTAATCCTTGTCACATACAAGTGGGGAATCGAAACAATGCCACTTGACAGACCTATTGATCTAGCACGCATGCGTTAACCCATTTCTTAGTCAGTAATGAAAACATTTACAACACACTAAAATCTCATAAAGTAATTATCAGAAATCATTAGAATTTGTTTGGCTTCCAGTTCTGCCACATGCTAACATTTAGCATACAAAACATTTAATATCTAGGGCCATAACTCTGGAAAAAATTATTTTTCAAGGTGATCAAGGTCCATAACTCTGACAGTAATGATCAAAAATTGTTGAAAATCATTAGGCTTCTTTGTCTCACGACCTTAAACACTGTGTATAAATTTTAAGTGAATAGGAAATTAACTTTAGCCTCTAGAGTGTCCACAAGATATTTCAAGTGATCAAGGGCCATAACTCTGGCAGTAATTATCAGAAATCGTTGAAAATCATTGTGGGTATATAAAAATTAAACGATAAAATGGATACTCAAGGCTAAGTCTTGGTTGTCTATTTTCAATATATTCACTTTCTACTAACTGTTTTTGAACTATTATAGCAAGAATGGACTGCTCGCTTTATCTAAATCTTACATAATGCATCTTTATGTTAAGTTTCATCTGAATCAGACAAAAATTATGGCCTCTGGAGTGTCCACAAACTTTGTACAAATTTCGCATTTTGCATTATTGATGTGCACTAAAATCGAACTTATTATTTACCTCTACTGGTTTAGGCGAGCTGTATATAACTTGTCCATTCGGTAGCTTTACTGATGCTCGCATATTTGTATGCCCTACATAAGCTCCATAAACTGTATAATAAGCGGTTACTTTATCATCAAAATAACTGGAACTTGGCCTGAAAATAACAAGCCAACAGTGAGGCTGATGTCCCCCACGGAAATCTCAAAATAAATAAATGACACATTAATTAATCGCACATTTATTTTTTTCAAAAGTATCAAGCAATCAAACCAATAATCAACTATATGCCAAGTTTCATCACTCTCTATCAGATAGAATCAAAGTTATCTGGTACCAAAGCATCGACCAATAAAATTGCTTAACTCTGTTTCATTTTAGCTCGGAAATGTTAATCATTGAACTCCGTCAAGATATTCTCATCATCAAACTTAGTCAAGGTAATGATATAATGAATCTATGCTCGGAGTTTCATTAATTAAAACCAAAGTTATTGGCCTCAAAGCATCAACCAATCAGATTGCTTATCTCTGCTTACCCTAAGCAGAAAATGCTCATCTTCGAACTCCATCAAGGCATATAAACACTACATCAAGGCATTCACCTAATAAACAGTTAGACACCTACACCAAATTTGAACATTCTAGCTCAATTAGAAGGAGAGTTATTGTGTTCCAATGTCTCGGCCAATCAAATTGCTTATCAAGCATAAAATGCTCATTATTGAACTTAGTCAAGGTAATGATGTAATGAAACTATACATGAAGATTCATCATTCTCACTTAATTAGAACTAAAGTTATTGTGTCCTAAAGCATCAACCAATCAAATTGCTTATCTCTGCTTACCCTAAGCAGAAAATGCTCATCTTCGAACTCCATCAAGGCATTGACATAATAAACACCTACACCAAGTTTGAACATTCTAGCTCAATTAAAAAGAGAGTTATTGTGTCCCAAAAAGTTAAACGGACGGACAAACAGACAGAGGAACCCATTTTAATAGTCCCCTGCTTTCTTCGAAAAGCTGGGGACAATAAATACTGGTATACAATTACAGCTGTATTGACCAGAATAAAGCATTTTCAGGAGTGAACATGCAGGCAATTTACCAGTCTTCATATCTCTTCAACCTAAAATAAGATAGGTTGCCAGGCAATGAAACATACGCCTACAGCAGCTAAATCGTCCGAGCGGTCGACAAGGGTTGTCGCATAATTATTCCTTTGTAGGAATAAAGATCAGATAATAATTCTGGAGGGTTCACAAGGTTCTACAAACTGAAACAAGGGCCTTAACTCTGGAAGTAGTCTACAGAAATTGTTGAAATTTGACAGGTTTTTTTCATTTTACTAATTTAAATACATAACTCTAGAAATTATCGACGGAAATTGATGAAATTCAATAGACCTCTGTTTCACAAATTTAAATGATGTATATACATATACATATCGGATGATAACTTTCATCAATCGAGCATTAACAAGGTTGAACAAAGTGAAACAAGGGTCCTAACTCTAGAAGTAATTATTGTAAATTGCTGAAATTCACTAAGCTTCTTCGTTTCACTAATTTAAATAATGCATATGAATTTCAGAAAGATCAGATGATAACTTTTGGCGTTAGAGTGTTCACAAGGTTCAATAAAGTGAAACAAGGGCCATAACTCTAGACGTAATAAACGGAAATTGCTGAAATTCAATAGGCTTCTTCGTTTCACTAATTTAAATAATGCATATAAATTTCACAAAGATCGGATGACAACTTTTGGCGTAATAGTGTTCACAAGGTTCAACCAAGTGAAACACAGACATCTTGAACAGAAATTATTGAAATTAGGCTTCTACATCCTCACTAATGTAAACCACACATATCAATTTTAAAACAATCGGATAATAACTTTTGGAGTTAGAGCGTTCACAAGAAATTGTGGCCGACAGACAGACCAATGGGCGGATAGCCGGGGGCGACGGCAATATAAATCCACATTTCCATGTAGGTGTATAAAAACAGACAAACTGAGGTGTACTGGCATAAGAAATTGTTTGTGATATAAATTTATTGTTGAAGTGGACATTACCGGTAAATAAATATAGTCACACAAAGCTCACATACCAGCTATGTCTCAAAACAAAATTTACGTCAGTCCATTGGCCCGGCGCCGATAAATAACTGAACGGGCCAACATCTTTTTATTTTGAAGATGGTGGATCAGCCCTGTGAGCCGACTGTTTTTTGTCATGGATATCTTGTTCATGGTTCTATCAAATTCTCCTTTGAAAATATCTATATTGCCCCTATTTATATCCGAAATATATTTCATCTAGATATTTAACGGTATTTCATTACCAGAAATGAAAATAAAATTGTCCACCAAGAGAAATTATTGTTGTAGGAGTGAGGTTGTGCTTGCAAATATCAAGGGATTTGGGGTGGGGTAGTGTACGTGTGTTTTGTTAATATTTATTGGGCCCACAAGTTAATGTTACGACCTACACCTTTCATGAATGGCGTCTACCAGCGGGTCCTGTTGGCTTACAACATTTCTTGCCGAATTTTAAACACTGCCACAGACAGCAGTTTATCCGAAATGACAACTTGGATTTTGACCAAATTTAAATTAACGGTTGCCATGCAAGATATGCCCACATTTTGCAGGAGATGGAAGGAGAACAGGGACAATCGGTTGCAGGCCACAAATGTTCAAATTATGGCGTAACCAATTGGTTATGCTATTTTCATGTTTTATTCAGATTAAAATGGCGCTATTATTCATTTCCACTTTTCGTGAATGTATTTTTTTTTTTAAAGAAATAGCTTGACTAGTTTAGTTTATATTTAAAGATACATTATGGGAGATTTTGTAACGAGTTGGTAGTTATTGAGAAGGAAAGTTATGCAGTAAATTGGCTTACAATCCACTAAAGATCGCAGGCTAGCGCTGCCATCCAGAGTTGATTATGGCCTGGATAGGTTAATTAATGTCTAATTAATAATTTAGATAACATTTCAGGCCTAAAGAAAGACCTGAAATAGGCAGATTTAGCTCTTGCATAATGTATGTTTAATATTATATTTTGAGGTTAAATGTTTATGACTTTAATCCCTTGGTGTCCCCATTTATACATTAGAAAATATTTCGTTCTACTTCACTTAATCCCTATATTTAAGTAACTTAGTAAGCTAGTTGATTGATTTCTTGTCAACAAGTAATAATTAACCTGTTGTAATTTAGCAGAAAGTAGATGATTTATGATACCATAGGGGCCAGTTTATTCTTTTATCAATTGGCTTTTTCAAACATCAAGTGAATGAAGCTGACTATAATGAGCCGATTAAGATCCCTGATGTACGTACATGGCTACTCGTACGACTACATGGTTAACGGTTGTACAGGTGAATCGGTTAAAAAAATTACTTACGGATTTTCGTTTTTATATCATATCTGACTTTCAAAACCAGTTATGGTAGCTACCACATTCTTTTCTGTCACCGAAGACCACATTTTATTGCTTTTGGAATTAAATCATGGATTTAAGTTTATCTTTAAATTCCTGTTTGTATACATTATTAGCACTCTTCCAAGCACATAGCATGAGATAGCTTCACGGCTCACTCATACATGTAGGCTTGGTACCGACTGATTGATGAATAGTATTTATTAACCTTGACACCGACAATACTATATACCAGTGTTTTCCGGTATTCAGTATAACATGGAGTTTTCCGGTAGTTTTCAGGTTGTTTTCCAGTGTTTTTCGGTGTTTTCCGGTATATAGTATGGCCCCCTTGACACTCTTTAAACAAAGTCTCAAAAAGAAACAGACTAGTCTGATGTGATGAAATACGGTAATATTAAAATAGACAAGATAGTAAAATCGTTAACATTAGTACTGGAGCACCATGCCATGTTCTGTTGGGAGTCAAAGTTGACGACATACATACGATCTGATATGTGCGAATTTCAAAAGGAACTAAGATCTTTGTGATATAAGCATAAATTTAAGGTTGCATCAAAATCTAAAAAAAATTTTGTCCTCTAGGAGTCTACAACCTTGATATACCACATATTTACACCATTTGCGTTATAGGAGGGGCGGCCATTTTGCCCTTCAGTTCTGGTCCCATTTTCACGAAATTCATACTCAACCGTCATTACGGTGTAACGGTTATATACTCACACGTTTTTTTAAATCGGATAATAAAGTCAATCGGATATTAATTTTAGCCTCTAGAGCGTCCACAATATTTTTCAAAGTGATCAAGGGCCATAACTCTGGCAGTAATTATCGGAAATCGCTAAAAATCATTAGGTTTGTTCATCTCATGACCTTAAACACTGTGTATAAATTTAAAGTCAATCGGATATTAACTTTAGCCTCTAGGGCCATAACTCTTGCAAAAATTATCGGAAATCGCTGAAAATTAATAGGATTCTTCGTCTCATGACCTTAAACATTGTATAAATTTAAAGTCAATCGGAAATAAACTTTAGCCTCTAGAGCCTTCAAAGTGATCAAGGGCCATAACTCTGGCAGTAATTATAGGAAATCGCTGAAAATCAATAGGCTTCTTCGTCTCATGACCTTAAACACTGTGTATAAATTCAAAGTCAATCGGATATCAACTTTGACCTCTAGAGCGTCCACAAGATTTTTTGAAGTGATCAACTTTAGCCTCTTGAGTGTCCACAAGATTTTTCAAAGTGATAAAGGGCCATAAATCTGGCAGTAATTATCGGAAATCGCTGAAAATCAATAGGCTTCTTCGTCTCATGACCTTAAACACTGTGTATAAATTTAAAGTAAATCGGATATTAACTTTGACCTCTTGAGAGTCCACAAGATTTTTTGAAGTGATCAAGGGTCATAACTCTGGCAGTAATTATCAAAAATCGTTGAAAATCAATAGGCTTCTTCGTCTCATGACCTTAAACACTGTATAAATTTAATGTAAATTGGATATCAACTTTGACCTCTAGAGCGTCCACAAGATTTTTTGAAGTGATCAAGGGCCATAACTCTGGCAGTAATTATCGAAAATCGCTGAAAATCAATAGGCTTCTTCGTCTCATGACCTTAAACACTGTGTAAAAAGTCAATCGGATATTAACTTTGCTTGTGGACGCCGGACCGCCGGTTGGGGGCGACAACAATATACTACCACATTTCAATGTGGGCGTATAAAAAGGTGATTTTTCGTATAATCAGGGGCCATAATTCAGGAAGCTACGATCCGATATGCGACAATATCGAAAGGAACCAAGATCTTAAGGTTATAAACATGGATTTCAAGTTTCATCAAAATTGAATTAAAATTGATTTACCATATGTTTTACACTATTCGCGTACAAACGACGGCAATTTTGGTCTGATTTTCACGAAATTCGAACTCAACCTTCCTTCAATCGGATATTAACTTTGCTTGTGGACGCCAGACCGCCGGATGGGAGCGACAACAATATAAAAAGGCGATTTTTCGTATAATCAGGGGCCATAATTCAGGAAGCTACGATCCGATATGCGACAATAAAAAGGTCGATTTTTCGTATAATCAGAGGCCATAATTCAGGAAGCTACGATCCGATATAAAAAGGCGATTTTTCGTATAATCAGGGGCCATAATTCAGGAAGCTACGATCCGATATGCGACATAATTCAGGAAGCTACGATCCGATATAAAAAGGCGATTTTTCGTATAATCAGGGGCCATAATTCAGGAAGCTACGATCCGATATGCGACAATATCGAAAGGAACCAAGATCTTAAGGTTATAAACATGGATTTCAAGTTTCATCAAAAGGACCGCCGGATGGGGGCGACAACAATATACTACCACATTTCAATGTGGGCGTATAAAAAGGTCGATTTTTCGTATAATCAGAGGCCATAATTCAGGAAGCTACGATCCGATATAAAAAGGCGATTTTTCGTATAATCAGGGGCCATAATTCAGGAAGCTACGATCCGATATGCGACAATATCGAAAGGAACCAAGATCTTAAGGTTATAAACATGGATTTCAAGTTTCATCAAAATTGAATTAAAATTGATTTACCATATTTTTTACACTATTCGCGTACAAACGACGGCAATTTTGGTCCAATTTTCACGAAATTCGAACTCAACCTTCCTTCAATCGGATATTAACTTTGCTTGTGGACGCCGGACCGCCGGATGGGGGCGACAACAATATACTACCACATTTCAATGTGGGCGTATAAAAAGGTCGATTTTTCGTATAATCAGAGGCCATAATTCAGGAAGCTACGATCCGATATGCGACAATATCGAAAGGAACCAAGATCTTAAGGTTATAAACATGGATTTCAAGTTTCATCAAAATCGAATTAAAATTGTGACCTCTACAGGTTCCAGAACCTTGATTTACCATATTTTTTACACTATTCGCGTACAAACGACGGCAATTTTGGTCCGATTTTCACGAAATTCGAACTCAACCTTCCTTAGGGTGTAACAGTGATATGAAAGTTATGACCTCTATAGGGTCCACAAGCTAAAAACGTGTTTTGTCGTACAATCAGGGGCCATAATTCAAGAAGTTATGGTCCGATATGCGCGGATATCGAAAGGAACTGAGATCTTTGGGTTATAAACTTACATTTCAAGTTTCAACAAAATCGGATATAAATTGTGACCTCTATAGGGTCCACAAGCTAAAAACGTGATTTTTCGTACAAAGAGGGGCCATAATCCGTGAAGTTTCGATCCGATACATGCCAATATTGAAAGCAGCCGAGATCTTTTGGTGATAAACCTATATTTCAAGTTTCGCCAAAATGAGAGAGAAATGGGGTTTAACGTCCACTCAACACAAACTAGGTAATTTCGGGACTAACATATGGTTTGATTTTATTTCAATAATTTGCTTGCCCGTGGGGGTCTTTAGCAGTGGGGGGAAACCTGAGTACTCGGAGAAAACCCATGAGGTTGGACAGGCGACCCTACTCCTTGCTACGTACAACCGGGGATTCGAAACCATGCCAGTTGACTCAATGACAGGCCTTATGATACAGCACACATGTGCTAACCATTCGGCCATCCCCCCCCCCCCCTGGCGCCAAAATCGGACAAGAATTGTGACCTGTAGAGAGTAGACAAACAAATTGTGGACGGACGGACAGGGGCAATGACAATATACGTCCACATGAAAATGTGGGAGTATAAAAAGGCATACATCTATAACTTACCTTATGGTTAAAATACCTGTACCGGCTTCTAGTTTTAATCCCATTAAGGAAAAGAAACTAGACAATAGAGGATTACCATTTACATCTAAAACTTGTACTTTAGCTATCAATTCTTTACCAACTTCTACCTAAATTAATAGAAACAAGTGAAGCTTATGTCCCCCACTGCTATCCCAAGATAAATAGATCACACATACAGTCAGAGGTCGTAGTCATGCAAAAATCCGCGTTTTTCATGCAATTTCTTCAAAATAAACGCAAATATTTCCGGACGCTGCGTAATTTACACGCAGAAATTTCTCAACTAAGTATAATTAGATTATGTTTAGATAACGGATAAAATGTTTAGATAACGGATAAAATGTTACGAATAAAATGTTACGGATAAAATGTTACGATAATGAATAATATATCTTTGTTGTGGTTTGTACACTGGGTCATCAATCTATGTGCTTCACGCAGCATTTACACATCGATACTGACTGTTCGTTCTTAAAGTATTACGTCCACTTCCACCATAGGCGATATCGTAGATAGGTGATATTGCTACTGTAGTCCACTGATCTATATATAGATCAGTGCTGTAGTCTCCATAGGTTTTTATATACAGACATTCAATAACTACACTATTATGGTAATAAAAAGACTGGACAAGTTTTCTATCAGTCGTCTGCTACCTTACTGTACTTCTTGGTGCACAAAATCATACATTTTGTAACGCTTACTGTATTTATTGAATTGATTACATCAATAACTATGTTTTCTGGTAAACCAAGACAAAGAACATTAACAAATTTCTTTAAAACAGGCAATCCACAAGGTTTTCCGAACGAAAATGTGTCTGAATACACCAGAAATGACACGGTCATTGATGGTGAAAGTGAGGGAGGCGTCTCAAGATAACCATGGCCCTACAATAATTAAACGATCGAAATCTGAATTCATTTTTTAAGAAAAATGGAGAAATGATTTCTTATCGTTGCGAACCAGTCAAGATACGGACGGCGCATTTGTTATTTTTTACTCAGTTTGTGAAGGGGCGAAAGTGAAAAACGCCTATACACGTGGTTGCAAAACTTATCAACACAATTCTTTGATTAGACATAAGCAATCAACAGATCATTCACACTCATTGCTTTCAACTTCATTGGCGGATCATATGAAAAAAACATGGGAAAATTCAGATAAATCTTTCATTGTTATGCTGATAACCGTATATAGTATGGCAAAACATGACATGCCTAATGACAATTTTTCAACCATTATGGATCTCCAGCGTCGGAATGGCGTACCCGAATTACAAATTTCAAATCATCATATCTACAAGCACCATTCAAATGTTTGATCCAAGCCTTTGGATTGGCTAGTACACCATAAACTGTCTAAATTCAGCTAATCAAATATTGGCTTTCGTAGAGATACAGTTTGATCTTTACTTCCTTTAAAACTGAAAGATTGAAATAACTGTGCAGTTAACCTCTAGTATTCATAAGACTAAATACAGTATCAATAAAATAAGGACGTTTAAAATAGGGTTAATCACACAACAATGTTACTTGCTTCTGTTGAGTATTTTGAGAGGCTCCAAGTCACGAAGATGTAGAGGGTAAAAACGCAAAATTTTGGAATGCCTGCCTATTTTTACGCAACTCGAAATTGATCCACTGCGACCTCTACATACAGTCAACATCAATGTATAACACACACAATTTTCCTCTGGCCAGTCCCACCTGAAATATGGGGGGGGTGTAATTTTGGGGAATAATTTTTTTAAAACTTTTTCCATCAGTTTAAATGCATAAAAGATTGTGGCTATTTCGAAACATGGCCTGTATGACTGATTGCAGTATTACATATCGTTGACAGTTTGACATAAAGAAAGCTTATTATATAGTGATCCAACCTACAAGATTCTGCTAAATATAGTTACCATAATTTATAACAAGAGGTTGCCATTTGCCATGCAAGATATGCCCACATTTTGCAAGAGATGGACAAAGAACAAGCTAAAAACAAAACAATTTTTTGTACAATCAGGGGCTGGTTTTTTAAATCAGATAAAAATTGCAACCGCTAGAGGGACCACAAGTTAAAAACATGATTTTTTGTACAATCAGGGGCCATCATCCAGGAAGTTAAAGTCCTTCTTGAATATCTAGAGCAAATATATAAACATATATTTTAAGTTTCATCAAAATCAGATAAAAACTGTTCCACAACCTTGGTATTACATACTTTTACTTTTACACTATTTGCGTACCAGGAGCGACCATTTTGTCGGGCATTTTCGGTTCAATTTAAACCAAATTTGAACTGAATCATCTATATGGTGTAACAGTGATATATTTAAATGATTTTAAAAATCAGATAAAAATTGTGACCCCTAGGGTGTCCATAAGCTAAAAAGAAATTTTTCGTACAATCAGGGGCAATAATCCATGAAGTTACAATCTGATATGCACGAATTTTGAAAGGAACCAAGATCTTTGGGTAATTAACATACATTTTAAGTTTCATCAAAAGCGGATAAAAATTGTGACCTCTTAAGAGTGTCTACAAGCTAAAAACATGATTTTTCCAACCATCAGGGGCCATAATCCATGAAGTTACAATCTGATATGCACGAATATTGAAAGGAACCAAGATCTTTGGGTAATTAACATACATTTTAAGTTTCATCAAAAGCGGATAAAAATTGTGACCTCTTAAGAGTGTCTACAAGCTAAAAACATGATTTTTCGAACCATCAGGGGCCATAATCCTTTAAGTTACGGTCCGATACATGCCAATATGAACAGGAACTGAGATCTTTGGGATATAAACCTATATTTTGGCTTGGAGCTGGGCGATATTTCGGTTTTTCAATATAATACCGTCACAGAAATAAAAACCGTAAAAAAAACATCTTCAGAAAAATATCGAAAAACCGATATCACAGTTTTGATTTTTCTTGATGATATTAAACATAAATATTGAAAAAAATGTCTTCCTTTTTATGATATTTACAGTATTTTATTGCTTAATGATGAATAAATAGCAATAAATACTGTTAACCAGCGGCTGCCAGGCAGGATACGCCCACATTTTCGAGAGATGGATAGAAAACAAGCTAAAACGAAAGTGATTTTTCCTACAATCAAGGGCCATAATTCAGAAAATTACAATTCGATATGCGCAAATATCGAAAGGAACTGAGATCTTTGGGTTATAAACTTACATTTCAAGTTTCAACAAAATCGGATAAAAATTGTGACCTCTATAGGGTCCACAACATTGATATACCATATTTTTACGCTATTTGAGGACGAATGGCGGCCATTTTGTTTGTCAGTTTTGGGCCGATTTTCACGAAATTCGAACTCAGTCGTCCTTAGGGTGCAACGGTGATATAATAATATGTTTTTTTAAATCGGATAAAAATTATGACTTCTATAGGGTCCACAAGCTAACAACGCGATTTTTCGTACAATCAGGGGCCATAATTCAGGAAGTTACGGTCCTATATGCGCGAATATCGAAAGGAACCGAGATCTCTAGGTTATAAACTTACATTTCAAGTTTCAACAAAATCGGATCAAGATAGGTTGCCAGGCAACAAAACATACGCCCACAGCAGCTAAATCGTCGGAGCAGTCGACAAGGGTTGTCACATATTTATTCTTTAGTAGGTAATTAGGGGAATTTAATAGACAATTTCATACAGTTGACATTATAATATCCGTTGTTTGATGGTTCACAAGGTTCTAAAATCTAAAACAAGGGCCGTAACTCTGGAAGCAATCTACAGAAATTGTTCAAATTCGACAGGCTTTTTTCGTTTTAATAATTCAAATAATGCATATGAATTTCATACAGATCAGATGATAACTTTTGTTGTTCGAAAGTTCACAAAGTTCAACAAAGTAAATCAAGGGCCATAACTCTAGACGTAATTGATGGAAATTGCTGACATTCAATAGGCTTGTTCGTCTTCATTTCACTAATTTAGGTGATAACTTAAATTCAATAGGATTGTTCGTTTTACTAATTTACATGATACATATAAATTTCATACAGATCGGATAATAACTTTTGTCGTTAGAGCATCTACAAGGTACAACAAAGTGAAACAAGGGCCATAACTCACGGCGTAATTAACGGAAATTGCTGAAAATCAATAGGCCACCTTATTTCACTAATTTAAATGATGCATATCAATTTCAAACAGATCGGATGATAACTGTTGTCATTAGAGTGTTCACAATATTCAACAAAGTGAAACAAGGGCCATAACTCTAGATGTAATTAACGGAAATTGCTGAAATTCAATAGGCTTCTTTGTTTTACTAATTTAAATGATGCATATAAATTTCATACAGATCGGTTGATAACTTTTGTCATTAGATCAAACAACATATATCAATTTCAAAACAATCGGTTGATAAATGTAGTCTGTAGAGTGTTCACAAGAAATTGTGGACGATGGATGGACGGACGGACCGATGGACGGACGGGGGCGACGGCAATATACAACCACATTTCCATGTGGGCGTATAAAAATTGTGACCTCTATAGGGTCCACAACCTTGATATACCATATTTTACGCTATTTGAGAACGAACGACGGCCATTTTGTCTGTCAGTTTTGGGCCGATTTTCACGTAATTCGAACTCGGTCGTCCCTAGGGTGTAACGGTGATATAATAATACGTTTTTTTAAATCAGATAAAAATTACGACCTCTATAGGATCCACAAGCTAAAAACGTGATTTTTCGTACAATCGGGGGCCATAATTCAGGAAGTTACGTTCCAATATGCACGAATATCGAAAGGAACCGAGATCTTTGGGTTATAAGCATACATTTCAAGTTTAAACCAAATCGGATAAAAATTGTGACCTCTACAGTGTTCACAAGCTAAAAACGTGATTTTCCGTACAATCAGGGGCCATAATACATGAAGTTACGGTCCGATACATGCCAATATCAAAAGGAACCTATTCTTTTGGCCACGACTGTATAGTTTGATTGCTTGATACTTTTGGAACAAAAAATAAATGTGCGATTAATTAATGTGTCTCATCTATTTATTTATATGCATTATTTAAATTAGTAAAACGAAAAAGCCTGTCAAATTTCAACAATTTCT